ATTTAAATCCTTTTTAAATGCCATTTATTTAATTTAAAAATGCCATTTAAATCCTTTTAAAATGCAATTTATTTTAATTTAAAAGTGCCATTTAAATCCTTTTTAAATGCCATTTATTTAATTTAAAAATGCCATTTAAATCCTTTTAAAATGCAATTTATTTTAATTTAAAAATGCCATTTAAATCCACTTTTTAAATTCCATTTTAATCCAAAATTGAACGAAAAACCATTTCGTGCGTCCGCAGCAAAACGCCCCGTGTTGCTGCTGCTGCTGCTGCTGCTGCTGCTGCTGCTGCTGCTGCAGCAGCAGCAGCAGCAGCAGCACCTACGTGTCTCTGCAAATAAATAAATAAATAAGCAAATAAATAAATAAATAAATATATTTAATAAATTAAATAATTAAATAAATAAATAATTATTTAATTATTTAATTCATTCAATTGGTGCTCAGAAGGGCCCCACAGAAAATTGGGGTAGGGGACAAAAAGGAGACAGCAAAAGAGACATCTAAACTGCAGCTTCCCAGCAGCAGCAGCAGCAGCAGCAGCAGCAGCAGCTGCTGCTGCTGCTGCTGCTGCTGCAGAGAAGGGACAGAGGAGACAACTGAAAGCAAAGCAGATTAGTAACTGTGGGGCCACGGGGGACTCTCCCCTGCTGCTACGTCTGCTGCTGCTGCTACGTCTGCTGCTGCTGCTACGTATCCTGCTGCTGCTACGTCTGCTGCTGCTGCTAAGTCTGCTGCTGCTGCTACGGCTGCTGCTGCTGCTACGGCTGCTGCTGCTGCTGCTGCTGCTGCTACGGCTGCTGCTGCAGCTAGTGCTGCTGCAGCAGAGTGTTGCTGCACTGCCTAAGTGGGCCCTGTGGGCCTTGAGCGCATGCAGCTGGGGTGTACATACAGCTGGGGGCCCCAAAAGAGCAGCAGCAAAAAGGAGACAGGGGCCCCCCAGCAGCAGCAGAGACAAGAAAAAGGGGCCCCCCGTTGGGGGGCCCCCCCCTTCTGCTGCTGCTAGTTTGCAGTTTGCGCGGCTTCGTTTCGCAGCAGCAGCAGCAGCAGCAGCAGCAGCAGCAGCAGCAGCAGCAGGGGCGGCGCGGTGTACGTACACCCGAGACTGCTGCTGCTGCAGCAGTCTGGGCCCAGCGCCCGAAGGCGCAGCAAAGAAGATTTGGATTTGTCTTTGAATAAAAAAGGAAATAAAAAGAAATAAATAAAAAGAATTTGAAGTGGAAAAGAGTTGAGAAGCAGCAGAAGGGCGCGAGTCGCTGCTGCTGCTGCTGCTGCTGCTGCTGCTGCTGCGGGTGGCGGGCGGGCTGTGCTGCTGCTGCTGCTGCTGCTGCAGCAGCAGCAGCAGCAGCGCCTTCGCCGATTCATTAAAATGGATTTAATTCAACAAAATAAATTAAATTAAAGTTTTGAAAAGATGGAGGCGGCGCAGCAGAGAAGGGGCGGGGCGGGAGCTTGTCTATCGCGCAGAGAACGCCGGGTGGAGCTGCTGCTGCTGCTGCTGCTGCTGCTGCTGCTGCTGCTGCTCTGCTGCTGCTGCTGCTGCTGAGCCGCTGGTGCTGTCGGACAGGCTCCGCCGGCTCGTGGGGACTGGGGGCCTTTGAGGCTCTAGCTGGTTTGGGAAATAAGAGAGACACTAGCAGCAGGTAAAGCGCAGCAAACAGCAGCAGCAGCAGCAGCAGCAGCAGCAGCAGCAGCAGCAGCAGCGAACCTTGGGACATGAGGAGGGACCGCTGGCCTGCAGCAGCAAACTCTGCCCCTCTTCTTTTCTAGGAATTGCCTTTTCGTTTATTTTTATTTCTGCTGCAGCAGCAGCTGTCTGTACACCCCGGCGCTGCTGCTGCGGCTGCTGCTGCTGCTGCCCCTCCTAGTCTCTTTGTCTCTCTTTTGCTGCTGCTCTCTGCTGCAGTTTGCTGCTTGTCTCCCTGCTGCTGCTGCTGCTTTTGCGTGCCTTTGGGGCCCCCCGAGCTGCTTGCTGCAGCGCGGGGCCCCCTGTCTCCTCGCTTTTTGCTGCTGCTGCTGCTGCTGCTGCAGCAGGGACTCTCAGCAGCACACAGCCAGACAGACACCCGAAACCCCGCCAGCAGCAGCAGCAACCAGCAGCAGCTGCAGCAGCAGCAAACTCAAGCAAAAACACCGGCCTGTCGCCTCCCAGCAGCAGCAGCAACACTCACTGTCTCCTCTGTCCCCACAGCAGCAGCAGCAGCAGCAGCAGCAGCAGCAGCAACTCCCGCAGCCCCCGCGGCCGCAGCGGCCGCAGCAGCTCCACTGCGAAACAGCAGGCGGCGGCTGCCGCCGCAGCAGCAGCAGCTGCTGCTGCTGCAGCAGCAGCTGCTGCTGCAGCGCAGCAGCAGCAGCTCCCGCACAGCGACGCTGCAGGGGCCGAAGGAGACCCGAGAACTGAAGCAGCAGCAGCAGCAGCAGCAGCAGCAGCAGCAGCAGACACAAAAGGAGAAAAATAGATTAAAAGGATTTAAATAATTAAAAATAAAAAGAGACAAAAGTGCTGCAGGCCATGCTGAGGCCTCCGGGCTCAGCGCCTTGCGTCGTCGTGCCTGCTGCTGCTGCTGCTGCTGCTGCTGCTTCCACCTCGCTTGCCTGCCTCATGCAGAAGCAGCAGCAGCAGCAGCAGCAGCAGGACCGCCTCCAGCATGCAGAACAGCAGCTCAAGCAGCAGCAGCAGCGGCAGCAGCAGGCCACCCAGCATGAGGAGCAGCAGGAAGCGAAGCAGCAGCAGCAGCAGCAGCAGCAGCAGCAGCAGCAGCAGCAGCACGCACTGCAGCAGCAGCAGCATGTGTCGCCGTGCGTCAAGGAAATGGATGTCCTCTCAGCAGCCCCAGCAGCAGCAGGGGCGCCGGAGCTGCAGAAGTCTCCATCTCCTGAGAGCAGCAGCAGCAGCAGCAGCAGCAGCACGAGCAGCAGCAGCAGCAAGAGCAGGAGCAGCAGCAGAGTCCGGACTTGCCGTTTGGTTGCAGTGAAGAGCGAAGAGCCCGAGGGCCTCCCGTCTCCTGCTGCAGTCCCCTCGCCGCAGCCCCCCAAAGCAGCAGCAGCAGCAGCAGCAGCAGCAGCAGACGCAGCAGCAGCAGCAGACGCAGCAGCAGCAGCAGCAGACGCAGCAGCAGCAGCAGCAGCAGGCGGTACTCCGTGCTTGTCGCCGCGCGCGCGGGGGTCGCCTGCGGCGTCGGAGCCGTGCCCCGCGGCTGCTGCAGCCGCTGCTGCTGCTGCTGCTGCTGCTGCT